CTCGACTGCCAGTAAAATTTCACAAAACGGTTCTGCAGGGTTGCATATGGCAATCCAGACTCTACACTGCTCAAGGAAATGTCTTTGTTAAAAAAAACAGCCAAAATTCCACCTTTGTTCCATCCCTCTGTGATACATGATTCTATCTGTGCAGTAATTGTTGCACTTAACATTTTGGGTTTTAAAAAGGGTGTGACCACATCACATATGTGGGGCAGAAATGGAGTAGAGGAATTGAGGGTTTTCTTTCCAGATTTTGAAAGTCAGTTACATATATTAAGACGTATTCTATAATTTCCCACTTCAAAATGGCAAGAAACTACTGTCAGAAAACTTGGAGAGCTGCAAACATCATACTTCAGGGCTGCATGCAGTCTTGCTTCCATAGACTTACAAGACTGTAAGTGGTACTCAGCCTCTCTATACAACAAATTAATACATAACACAAAGCCTATTTGCATAGTAATGCATGTTATTTTGTATTTCAACTGTATTTTGTAGCTTCAACTGTGTGCTTTTAAAGTAGAATTATAAACCATAGGGCTTTAAGGGATCTTGAGGGTCTTCTAGTCCAACCCATTGCCTAAAGCAGGAGTCCTTATACCATCTAGGACAAACGGTTGTCCAGTCTTTTCTTGAAAACCTCCAATGAAGGAGCACTCACAACTCCGGGATATAAACTGGTCCATTGAGTATCTTGAAATTGGTGAAACTTGAACCTGAAACCTGAGGGCTTGCATCTTACTACTTTTGCCATGTAGGCAAAAGAAGCAATGAGATGAGGTTAGACTAGTGTTCACAAAAGAATTGATCATGTTCAACTTGTCCTGTCATCTCTGCATTCTTATGGTGATGCACAGAAAAAAGATTGTACTACAGTATAGCAAATATAGTGTGGGGTCAAACTAAATAATAGAATAATAATAAAGTTGTAAGGGACCTTGGAGGTCATCTAGTCCAACCCCCTACTACACCATTTCAGGCAAATTCCAGTGTTGGAGCATTCACAGCTTCTGGAGGCAGGTTGTTCCATGATTAATTGTTCTAACTGTCAGTACATTTCTCCTAGGTTGCTTCTCTCCTTGATTAGTTTCCATCTCTTGCTTCTTGTCCTGCCTTCAGGTGCTTTGGAGAATAGCTTAGCTCCCTCTTCTTTGTGGCAACACCCGAGATATTGGAACACTGCTATCATGTCACCCCTCATCCTTCTCTTCATTAGACTAGACATGCCCAATTCCAGATTATATGGAATTCTCAGAGCAAAAGAATATGATGCTGGGATGGTCACAACTGTCTGGCAAAAATTAGTATCTGGAAATGTCCTAAAAGAAACATCTGCTTTAAGTTTCATGTACTGTAGATCTCATGTACTGTCGATGGCCATTGCTCGGTTGTGGAGACTGATGAAAAATGTAGAACGCTATAGATAATTTGGTACTGTATTGAATTTTAAGCCTTGCAGAGCTTATGACCCACATTTTTTCCCTTAAAACCTCTAAAGGGAGGTTGGCCCCAACCCTCCTATACTTTCCTAAGTACCTAAAAACCTAGCTCTGCCAATTAGCCTGGGGGCCCAAAGGGGGTTGATTGAATAACAATAAATCCCACCTGCCCCCATTCCACCCTTGCCCTCCCCACATGTTCTTAGATTTTAATATTTGTTTTTCATTTATTTATGTTTTAATATAGATATATTTTTAGGACTGTAAGCTGCCCAGAGTTCCTTATGGTAAGATGGGTGGCCAATAAATTAAATTAAATTAAAAAATTAAATTAAATTATAGGAGAAATCAACCTAGCCTGGAAAGTCCAGGTTTTTAAGACATATTGTGAGTGCTTAAGATACTCATTTTAATCATTAATGCCATTAATAAAATTGCCAGGTCCATCTTTCCTGAGTAGGCTATAGGAGCTACAAATGGGATAACTGAGGAACTATGTCTACTTTCCATCAACAGTTGGCTATGTGTTGCACATCCCTGCTGTAAATAATAATAATACATGGAATCCAATGGTACATTAAGTGTTTTCATGGTGGAATAGAAGGAATTGATTCAAGATTTCGGCAGCATGCAGATTCCTTTCAGTTCTATTCAAGGGGGAGAGAGAAAAGGCAGTGAAAGGGTTTCTGTTACACAGACTTACAGTATTACCCTTAAAATGTTGGGTTCATTTAATTAAGAAATGTTAAGTAGTCAGAGTTTCAGTATTGATTGTGTGCTTCTGAATAAAGTATGGCTGTGGATTCATATCACTTTTCCATATACTGATGGCCACTAATGTTTTCTGGCCTGCCTATGTCATTGAATATGTTTGCATGATGACTATAGGAGATTAAATGAGAACGTATGCAAGATTTTCAAAATTGTAAGAAATTTTGGTATTCATATGCAAAGTCTTATCATTTTTTACTTTGTGGTACCTATGACAGCCTGTCTTATATTTGTTAAAAGGCCAGTGTGACTTCCTGATCAGGATGGCTTGATTCAAATTTGAAGTTATATTTCCTCATTTAACTCTTACAACATCCTGAAGTTGGCATATAAGCCATGCTGACCACATGACCATGAAAAGTGTCTTCAGACAATTCTGGCTCTCTCAGCCAAGAAACGGAGATGAGCATCAATGTAGCAAACAGTTTGAGTTATGACAATATGTGTGTTTTTGAGCTTAGGATGATGAGGTAATGGGGTGAATACATTGAAGTTACTTGAATTAAACAAAGAGGCCTTAGAATTTGTTTTGTTGAGCTGTTACTTTTTCAAGTGGCCTTGCTTGTCAGTACCTCTCCTTTCCTGAATCAGCTTTCTTTATGCCGAAGTGTTTATGGCTAAACTCACAGTTTATCTTGCCTTGAGAATGTGCATATAGAGATGCATATGGATGAATGCCTTTGAGAAAGTGGGGGAAGAACAGGATCTGCTTGTCTACTGAAACATCATTTTTCCTTTCAGTCAGAGGTGTATTGTATCTAATTGATTTCTAGCTGAGTTACTGCTTTATTTTCTTTGGAAAATATATTTAGATTAGTATCTTTTTAGTTTGCTCCCACAAACTCCAGTTCAATTCATAAAACTGAACTATTCTGTAATAACAAGTGTCCAATTAAAGAGTTTAGGTTTATTCTAATCTAAGGATATATATATATTCTAATTTGAGATTCATTTAAAACATTACCTAAAATTCTTTAAAAATATGTTGGGTATTCTTTTCTCCCGCTTCCATTTTTTCTGAGGGTGAGGGAGGGTATTCTTAGATTTTATAAGCCAAGAATAATGTGGTCCCAAAAGATAATTCCTATTATTTCTGCCTTGAACTACTTCAAAGTGCTGGAAGACATGTTACATTGTGAATTATGAATATAAATATTTGCCTGCTTCCTTTTCTATATGTACTTGCAGAAATCTATGGCTGAAAATCTAACTTCACAAATGTTCCAGCTTCATTTCTAATAGCATTTTAAAAATGTGTGTGGTTACACGCAGATAATGTAATTGGGTCTTTTATATTTATGCACATATATCACTATATATGGAAAGATTGTGCTTATAAGACCATTCATGATTTCATTCTTTGTATTACATCATTGAAAAATAAAGGAAATATTTAGCTTCCTAATAGATTACTTGTTTTTGGCAAATAAAACTGCAGTCAGTTGGAAATATGCCAACAGCAGTAGGTCAGAGATAGGAGATTGTTGAAAGCAAATATAGTACTGCTGTTGTTCAATCACATGGAAATTGTTGAATATTCTGTAGTACTATCTGTTACCATTATGCCAAAAGAACATAATAGATGCCCCTAGATTGGTTGAAAATCATTAGTATCAATTAATTTCTTAAAAGAATAGTGATTTTTATTTGCATAAGTGGTTAACATTGTAAAATATAAGTTTATAAACAATTATTATTTCCTTAATGTTATTTTCAAAATCTAAGATAAAAGCATATACTCAAGATCCCCTGAATATGAGCTATTTATTAATTTATTTATTTATTTTTAGGAATGTAGTATACTCTGGCAGAACTGAGTAATATCTGCCCAGTTCCACATTCTTTTTGGGAAAATAACTGAGACTTCTCTGGAAATCAGTTGTGACTCACAGCTTCTTTGCATTGCCTTGGAAGCTTTGTTTTCTAGTCAAATAAGCTTAATAGAAGAATTTCATTTGATAATGAAACAGTCATTTTAAATCTCACACAAGAAGGTTTGGATATTGATATTATTAACATATTGCTTGGAAATTATGGTTTTTCTTTTCTGTTTTCTTTTTATGGATTTTCCAGTAATCCCAATTTAGAATCCAAAAAATTATATGCGAATGGAGTACCATGTGTTACTTTCTCATCCTTTGTTTAGTTGATTATTTAATGCATGAATATTAATACATTTATTATATCTGTTTGCAGTATGACCAAAAAGATTTCAGTCCTTTGTGCTTCCAGAATAATTCATTTTTTTGCTGAGTTTATTTAAAATTACCAAAACATTCTGAACGCTGTGCTATGCTTTGTTTTAGATAAAAAAATTATATGGAGTACTATCTATTCCATAATTGAATCATCACTAAATTTTTAGAAAAAGAAAACACATGGCATTGTTCTTTTTTTAATGGAAAATTGGCAAGCAGAATACAATACAATAGAAGAGTGTCTCTTTCCAGATTCTTGTATTTTTGAATTCCTTAATTTTATCATACAAGTCCTTCAAATTATTTATATACTAGTCTAGTATTTTTTTTATTATTGATCTATCTCCTACTTCAGGTAACCTTCCCAAGGACTATAAATTTATCAGTACTATAGATAAAGCTTGGAAAAGGAAATGTATTATGCTTCCATGTGAGAAATGCAGGGTATTTCCATCTTTAAAGACCATTTTCTGAATTAAATCTACAAGTTCACAGCCCATATTAAGTAGGCCAATATATTGTTGTTGGCTAAGAAATATTAAGTAGGATTCTTATTGCCCCAACGATTGTATGTATCTTTCTTTTTCAGATTCTGGAGATGCACAACAGCCTGAAGAATTATTACCATGTCGGATTTGTGGAAGGACTTTTTTTCCAGCTGCATTAGTAAGTATGAGTATATGAGCATAATGAATTTATTTAAATCAAGATGACAAATGATAGGAGCCCTGGTGGCACAGTGGTTAGAATGCAGTATTGCAGGCTAACTCTGCCCACAGCCTGGAGTTTGATCCTAACAGAGCTTAAGGTTGACTCAGCCTTCTATCCTTCTGAGGTTGGTAAAATGAGGACCCAAATTGTAATATCATAACATTTGTAAACCACTCCGAATGCTGTTAAAGCACTGTAGAGTGGTATATAAGTCCTAAGTCTTATTGCGGTTATATGCTGTTATGTAAAAGGCAGAACATGTCCCCATCATCTTTTTATAGAAGAGCAAAGCTTTTTTTCCTGCCAACTTTAGGCCCATTTTTTTTTATTAAAAAAAAAGAAGCTGTAGAAGTTCTCTCCCTTCTTTTTCCTGTTAGGTATAGACAAGTGGAAAGGCTGGTTAAGCAACTGATTATCTTTGGCCTTGTCAAAAGGCCTAATAATGCAAAAGCCTTTGAGCTGCCAATTTATGCTTTGCAGCATTCCCTCAAAAGCAGGAAGACTGCTTGTTCACTTCAGCCTACAGAAATGTCTTCAGGAGACAAAAACTGTGCTTGTGCAGAACCTTGTTGAGCAAAGATTTTTCAATTCCTCCTTTGTGATCTTTTTCACAAGAGCTACTTCATGCATGATATTGCAAAAGTGCAGGAAACATCACAAATAATCAAGTCCTTTCCCAAATGAAAGACTCTAAGACAGTCGTTATTGCTCCAGCCATATCATCAGGGACCTGATCCAAGGAATCTCTAAAGGGGGGCTGCGAGCTTACTTGTGGGAAAAGTGCCAAGTCTTGTCTGATTCTGTATTTTAGTAGAAGCTCTAGTATTTTCTACCAGTTCTTTTGTGTAATTTGAAGGCCTAAGCAAGCTAATGCTTTTTCTTTCATTTATTTGGTCCATTTTTTTTGGCCTTGGAAAATGGCATTATATAGGCATAATCAACCTCTCACAAGACCCGAAAAGAATGTTCTTCCTTAGTGAATTTCCCCTTCTCTTCCCTTGATCCTCACTGCTTTCATCAGCTTCCTTCTCCTTTTTCATGTTCCCATAAGAGCAGGTATAGAACACCATGACAGCATGAGGGAGAGGCTTATTCAAGATAGATAGAACGCTCAATTCAAGTCCATACTGATACATAGTTCAGCGTTGTTTCAGTTGAAAATAATCTCTATAATATTGTTTAAAATTAAACCACCATCCTGGTTTAATTATGGTGATAACTGAGAAATTGCCATGTACATTCACTATCTTGGTAAGTCTCTGTTTTTCCAGACAATAAAACATCCCTTTCACTGAAATGTTTCCTTAAAGGTTTGTCTTGGTTCATCCTATCTGTATTTGTGATTTATGCTACTATTACAGATTTTTGTAGAAGCTCTTCTTGGTGCCATTTGTTGAATTCCTATCAGGAACTTGACATGTAAGATAGGGTTCTTAATAGTGGTGACCCTGGCCAGGTGTGTAGATGAGGAGGTGGTAACTTTCAATCAAGTGGAACATCTGGATTTTCTATTTATATAGAATAATTTAGAATTGGATCCCTATTTTTTGCCCATCTTTTTATAGGACTGATAGATTCATTATTTTAATGACCCAGTACTAAATATATTAATAGCCCCTCAAGTCTTACAGCAGCCTTATAATGGCAGGTTGCCTTATTAGATTTTTGGGTTCTGGTATTCTTATTGGGGCTGTTCCAGGTTATTTTCTTGCTCCTACCTGACATTTTGGGGCATTGGGTTACGCCCAAATTGGTAAGGCTTGTTACAAGTCAGGAGCTTATTTCAGAAGCTGCTAGTATATATCTTGGCTTCTCATCTAAAGCCAGTTTGAATGTGATCTGAGGAGGAATGAGTGAAGAGCATTATATTCTAAGAATATGTACTACTAGCAGAGTCACCCAAGGTATGAAGTCATCTCAGCTCCCCACATATAGCAACCAAGAGCTTATACAGGTTATAGCCCATAGGAAGATTATGGAAACAAATGATCTCTTTTAGTGACAATGATGAAGGTATTTCATGTTGCACATGAGTAAACCACTTCTGTGTTTTATCAAGGAAACCACAGGGATAGACAAGGCAGAGTGATTGTTGATACAGTGCCAGATGCTGGGCCCCTTGGGTCATATGGCACTAAACATGCTCTTGGGGAAGAGCTGGAGATGTTTTGGAATAGCAATGGTGCTTAAGATGTAGCCAAATTAAAGCTTTTGGGACATCTAGTTGCTGATATTGCCATTCTGAAAAAATATGAAGTTGCAAACAGAGAATTACAGTGGGTATATGGAACATGAAAAGCATAAACTGTTTTCTGCTCTGGCCATCATCTTCTAGAACAGTGGTTCTCAACCTTCCTAATGCCGCGATCCCAACCATATGGTCGTAAGTCGAGGACTACCTGCAAGTCGCAGGAGGAGGTGCGCACGCTCCGCCTCTTCTCCTGCGACTGCACGCGGGCCGTCGCCCAGCAACCGCCTCGGCCCAGGAGCACCGCTCATGCATGGTGCCGCCCCCTGCGCCGGCCGAGGCGTAGCTGGCAAGCGACGGCGCAGGCTGACCACCGGCTGGGCCGCCAGCTGGCCCAGCCTAAGGAAGGTAAGCCACCCGCCGGGCCCCACGCGCACCGGCAACCCTCCCTGCGCTCGCCGCTGCCCCACTAGCCTTACCTTGGCCACCGCACGTTTGGTGCAGCAGCAGGCAGGCCCAGGCGCTCCTGGGCGGCCATGGCACACAGCAGCGCGGGCTCAGGCCAACCACCGGCTGGGCCACCAGCTGGCCCAGCCCAAGGGAGGTAAGCCACAACCTTCCCTGCGCCCACCGGCCTCCCACCTCCCATCCCTGGCCCTCTTACTTACATTTAGCAGGGAGGGGTAGAAACGTTCAGAAACCTTGCCTTAGTTACAGACAACTTGCAGCACCGTTTGCAGACTGGGGCTTTTGGCGGACTCAGCAGGGCAGAGACAGCCTGGACAATTCCTATTGGCTTTTGAAAGCCAATAGAATTAGACTCTATTCAAGAGTCTATTCTATTGGCTTTCGAAAGCCATTAGATTCTATTGGCTTTCGAACGCTAATAGAATAGAGTCTCTTGAATAGAATCTATTCTATTGGCTTTCAAAAGACAATAGAATAAGAGGGAGTAGCACAGCTAAGGAAAAGGGGGGGAAATGGTGGACTGCGTTGTTTGGCGACCCCCGTGAAATGGTTGTTTGACCCCAAATGGGGTCGCGACCCACAGGTTGAGAACCGCTGTTCTAGAATATTCTCTCACCGGAGGTAAGATCTGCCCCACACTCCTACTTTTCCAGAAGAGCCTGAAAACCTGGCTACGCCAACTGGCTTGAGGCTCCTTCAGAGGCGCATTACCTTGGGTGTACCTTATGGGGTAGAGAGAACCTCATATAAAGTAAATTAATATAATAAATATACAAGTAGTCCTCAATTTAGGACCATGTGTTTATTCATAGTTTGGAGTTACAATGGTGCTGAAAAAAGTTATGACCTGTCCTTAAAATTAGAATCATCACATTATCCTTGCTGTCATATGATTATGATTTGGGCATTTGACAACTAGCTCATGTTTATGATAGTTGCAGTGTTCTGCAATGATATGATTGTGGCTTAGTTTCAAGCTGGTTTCTGACAGTCAAAGTGAATGCAGCAAAGCTGGATCTACTATGGTGATTTGCTTATCGGTCATGGTAAAAACGGTAGTAGAATCATATGATGATTTGCTTAATGACCACATTGCTTATCAATCAAAATTCTGGTCCAATTATGGATGTAGGTTAAGGACTTCCTGTAAGCTTTATCTCCTGGGGTCTTTGCTTCTCTTTCATGACAGGGAGCTAATAATGAATTTTAAAAATCCAAATATAAATATTCAACTTTTTAAAACTTTCATTTCACAGAAAAAGCATGCTCCCATTTGCCAAAAAACTGGTACTAAAAGAAGGAAAGCATTTGACTCTAGCAGACAGAGAGCAGAGGGAACTGATATTTCTACAGTAAAACCTATGAAACCACGGGTAAGTACATAAATACTGAAATGTAGTTGTTATTTTTTTTAAAAAATGTATGTAATATTGGTTGCAAATATGTTATGAGCATTTAGGAACTTATTCAAAGTAGTGTACTCATTTATTTTTTCTTTGATTAAGGAACTGTTAATTGTTTTAAGCATACTGCTTGTATAATACTTTTGTCTTGGCATTATCTTAATCATCAAATCAAAATATTGATTTCAGACTTCATATTGCACTGTTCTGAGAATGTATATTATTAGGAATACCAGGGCTATAGGCTAGATTTAGAAGGTAGAAGCAAATTTATAAAATACTTGCAAGAAATTTGAAAACACATGATATGTTCATTGACTTAACAAGAGAAAACAAGCTTGACTAGAAAGAGTCTACTATTTTCCATACTATAGAAGCTATTATATGAGCTGATAGTCCTGAAGAATTGCAGCCAATAATGAAAATTAGAGCAGGGTAATATAACGCTATGAACAATGCAAGATTTTGGCATTTGATTTTCTGTGATAAGATTTTTTTTAAAGATAACTGAAAAAAACCAGATAATATAATTGAATAATGCTGCCTCTCAGAAACTTAACTTTCTCTGTAAGAGAAAGATAGAAAACACATAATTCTACACTCTGTACTAGATATATTTTTTTGGTGTTGGGCAGATCTAATGCTTTAATTTAATATAGTTGTGTATTCCTATATCAGCAGTTACATAACAGTAATTACTTTTAAGTTTAATGCAGTATTGCATTATTCAATATTGAACTCTTGAAAACAAGAAAATAGCTCTCTTAACGACAACAGGGAAAATATAACAAGCATTCAGAAGCATAGGAAGTGATTAAGAAAAGGAAGTGATTATAAGCAGACATTGTTCTTACCTGGAGTTCAGCTTGCATGGAATATTAAATTTACTTTTTATTTGCCTACTGCTATCATAGTACTTTTCTCAAAGACTAAGTGTAGTTTTGCAAATAGCCTGCTTAAAAATAATACATTAATTTTATTTAGCTGGTGTTGTTTAGATTATTGCATACTTTACTGAGTACAAGAAAAATCACATGATTTACATTGCAAAACTATGTCTGCTGTCTGTGTTGTCTCCTTAGCCAGAACCTCCAAAGAAACCATCAAACTGGAGACGAAAGCACGAGGAGCTCATAGCAGCTATAAGAGCAGCCAAAGGAGTAGATCAGGTTCTTAAAGAAGGTGGAAAATTGCCACCACCACCACCTCCTTCTTATGATCCTGGTATATAACTTGAATTTGAGATATGTATACATTTTAGCATATGTTCATGCAGTATTATTTTTGAATAATTACATAGCTAAATCATTTCTAAATTATTATATTGGAAATGCACATTTATATCAGCAGAAAGTGTCCTGAGTCACTGCTGCCTTGATTATTTGTCATTGCTTATTTTTCAGAGGTTTTGCACTAAAACTTTTTAGACCTGGAATTGGAAAGGAACCAACAGTTAATAGGAACGATTTAACTTGCTTTACCACACTTCCCCATGTGTGATCACAAAATAAGGCCTTATTCAATCTAATTGTCCTAGGAAAGGAATTCAGGCAACTAACTGTACCACCGAGCTAAAGACAGCCATCAGCCAATACATTTTCCCTCGTCCCATACATACATGGGAGTCCTATATTGTATGAAACCAAAGCTGCTGTAAAAATTATGTTGTTAGCACACATGGAATAGAGGCAAAGGGATATCTCAGTGGGTGGATGTAGTTAGAATCTGTTCTTTTAAAGAGTTCTGTTGTTTAGATGGAAGAGAACTGATTGGTTCCCTGCTTAGTCTCAACATTTTGAAATAAGACTCATAGATTTGGAAATTGTGATGGTAGACAAAAACATAGTGAAAACATTTTTTTTAACCTAGGTGTGGTTAAGAGAAAATAATGAAATGCTCCAGTAACTTGATAATGTATATACATTCTAGAGATTGATGTATACACACATACACACACACACACACACACACACACACACATATATATATATATATATATATATATACATACATATACATACATACATACATACACACACACACACACACACACACACACACATATATATATATATATATATATATATATATATATATATATACACACACACACCTATATATATATATATATATATATTTGGTGGAAATAGCTATCATAAATGTTATGACATGAGGGCATTAATTCTAAGTTTATCATGAGAGCAAAATTGTGTTGGAATTGAGAGAGTGAAATAATGAATACCCATTTGTTATATATCTGTATTGCATAAATTTTGTTGAATGTAGATTATATTCAGTGCCCATACTGCCAGAGACGATTTAATCAAAATGCAGCTGATCGACATATCAATTTCTGCAAAGAACAGGCAGCACGTATTGCCAATAAAGGGAAAGTAGTTAGTGAAGTAAAAGGGAAGCTTCCAGCTAGAATACAGGTAAATAAATTTACTATCCATCATTTCATTCTTTTCATTTTACTGATTTCCTAAATTTAGCATGCTTTAAAAACAGACTTGTTTTAAAATTAAGTCAAAACTTGAAAGTTCTATTTCTTTTGAATATTTAAGAAACAACAACAATATGACAAAATCTGGGAAGGAGCTAAGAAACCAGGATTAATTAATTAATACAGAATCCATACACATTGCTTTTTAATAAGCCTTTGTGACAAGTTGAACATTACAGATAAGCTATTATTTTAATTTATGTTAGCTGTTTCATTGAGGAAATAAAAAGGCAAACAAATTTTAAAGTGTAATCACTTTGTCTCAAATCATTTTCCAAAGTTACCCTGTTTGCTGGGAATTCTTTTCAGTGTCCTCTTTATTATGTAGATTATGTCAGAGTATTTAGTCACATAAATAATTTACCTATAAGTCTTGATTTCTATGAATTTATATAAATCCCCATTTATTGTTATCCAAGTTCGTGGCTGTCACAGGATCCTTACAGTAGAAGACTCCATAATTTAATTAGGACAGATTTTCAATTTCATCAGTACCTATACTTGCAGTAAGTTTAGAGTCATTTCCATCCTTCAGAGGGGGATAGTAATAAACAAAGGTTAGCCAGTCTAATCCATACATTCAATATGTAGTCCAATATCAATTTTACTTTACACTTAATTCTATTACATACAATTAATGTATATTCGGTGTGAAAGCCCATTATTCTGTGTTAGAGCTCATGCTTTACATATTTGTCATTCTGTTAATTGGGGGGAGGAAGGAGGGAAGGAAGGAAGGAAGGAAGGAGACTCCTCTTTTTTGAGATCTTGGAGAACTACTGCCACAGTGTAGAACAACCATTAGAGTCTATGGTTCTCTATATGTGTTGAACATAACTCCTGGACACTATGACCATTATTCTGTGGTTCAATTTATATGTTTTAGCAGCAAATAATGCACAGGTCATACTGGTTTATTCTTGTTATATTGCAGTTGTTGGAAGTGATCATGCTTATTCAAAAACAAAGTAACATGCTTTAATTGTAATATATAAAAAAGGCAGTCTGCCTTAAAAATATGAGGAACTAGAATAGTAACACTGAATCAGCATGATTGTGGAAGGTTATTTAACCTGTTAAATTACTAGCTTAATGGATATCATATTTGTTATTTCAGTACAAGACACCAACAGTTAAGAAGATACCTTCTGCAGGGATAACATCACCAGCCTTATCACGCTTACCACAACCAAGTAATGGACATGTGTGCATATGTGTGTGTGTTTTCTTTGTCTGGAATTTTATAATTAGGCATTCACTTGTAGCTCACTAAGCAAAGGGAATTTAAATCTTAAGACAGATTTAGCCTAAGCTGCTAGAAGTTAAGATAGATAGTGCTGATCCAGATGAACCTATAATATGCAGAATGTGAATGAAGTTCTGATCATATGTTTGAGGTAATTATATACCATAATAAACATTTTAAGTTCTTCTCTGCAACCACATCTTAACAATTAAAACGACAATTTCAAGATGTATTTTTAAAAACTGAGATGAATAATTCTGAAAGCAATTGTGCTGTTTTCAGTGTGTTGCTTCATAAGATTCCTAGGAGATGAATTAACAAGTGAGTTGAATAGTTACTGCTATATTAATGTCTTGATTATCTCCCTATCATTCTCTCACTGCTTCTCCTGGCTTGTTAATACTATAGAAGAAAGTTGATAGCATTGAAAAGTCAGTCTTGTAGTGAAAGAAACAGTGTTTTTCATATTTTCGTGACAAGGTTCCTCTGCAAATAAAACACTGTCTCCAGGTGGACAAATAGGAAACAAAATCCAGAGTTCTCCAGCTCATAAAAACATAATGAAAGCGAGTCCACAAATAGGGTAAGTATATTCTTAAAAGAAATGTGCCAATGAGATGAACGTTTGTAGAACTATATTTGATCTGCTCTCATTTCCATGGAAATCTGATAATAATGTAAGCAAAGTCCAACTAACTAATCTGCATTCCTTGATGAGAATATTAGAGGAAATGCAATGTTTAGTGTTCCTGTCAATGAATTATAGTCATTCATTAAATGGTAGTTATGCCATTTAAGTGGCAGTGAGAATTCTGAAAGCAAAAGCAACTCAGGATATGGTTTTATGAGTCCATGTGGTTGTCTTAACCACATTTTCCATATCTCAAAATATGACTTGAAGCTGTTTTGGGTTACAGATAATTAAATATCTTAGCCTTAGAAAGGTCTCCTACTCTTAATCCATTCTTAAGCTCTCCCCTCAGCCCAAAAAATTGGTCACACCACTTCTAATGATATCATCAGTCACTATCTGGTTTCCTTCAGAACTTGGGAAAGCTGAATTGTAGCCCTCTATCTCTTAGGAATTCTGCGACCTTTAAAGTAAATAGAAAGTGTTTATTTATTGGGTCATCCACTCTGCTGCATTTCTGTGGTTTGCAACCAAGCCTGTTTTCTACTTTTATTTAAATAGTCTATATCAAAATGACAGAACATATGATCAGACATTGTGAATGCTCCAACACTGGAAGTTTTTAAGTGGAGACTGGACAACCATTTGTCTGAAATGGTATTGGGTTTCCTGCCTGAGCAGGGGGTTGAACTAGAAGACCTCAAAGGTCGCTTCCAACTTTTTATTATTGTTGTTGTTGTTGTTGTTGTTAAATGTCTTATAAATGTATCCATTCCAATGAATTAAGGTTGTAGATGGATTCCAACTATGAATAATTTGTAAATGATTTGCTGTTGAATATTCTTTATAAGCCTGTGACACCATTGGCTGTGTTAATGCATATAAAATTACAAGTGATTTTTAATCACTTTAGGAGTGATTAAATTTTAAATTAATTCCTGCTACTTCTTGTAGCATTCCATATTATATATAGCTTGTGGAATTTTTTCAGCAAGATATAACATTTTTCAGGGCAAGACAAGATCTCCATCTATCTGTTGTGAGGGGCAGGTAGAGGAGAAAACCTATCCACTTTTTCAGGTTACAGCCCCAGGTGTTTCATTTATAAGTGCAGTTATTATTTTAAAACAGATTGAGCTCTGATATTTTGCTTGGCTCTGCTTGGTAACCCTTGCAGTATATTTTTAATGCTTTCTCACCTGTAGTGATATTATAGTTTTGAACTTTTTGAATAAAGAAATTTTGAACCTGTTGATTGTCCTCCTATTTCTTTTACCAGCTTGGAGGTGTTTTCTCCTTTGAAGTAAAATATTTGATTGTGTTCAATTACTGGATATAAAGAAATTAAATAGTAAAAGTTTGTCCTTATCCTCTAGATGGCAGTATTTAGCTTCTGTATAAGAAGTGGTTAATGTATCAAAACCAGGAAATTTTAAGAAATTTGAAGATGGTGATAAATAATTTGAGTTTGGATAAGTTCCAATTGTTCTCTCTTGTTGAGACAGATTGTTGAGTGAGACAGATAATGCTTTTAATGCTCAACAATATTTTTTTAATCTCTCAAACATTGTTTTGGGTTTTCTGTTTCTTGAATAATTTGATATTTAATATTTTTATGCTACAACTCAAACCAATGATAAGCACTTGATTTATATTAAATAGCATAAGAATATGATTCTTCATTTTTCAAAAACACTTGACTCACAGATGTCAAACTCACCACGTCATGTGACGTGTTGCGACGTGTCGTAACTTCTTTTGCGTTGCCGGAGCTGGGGTGGGCACGGCATCCGCATGATGCAACTGGCCCATGGGCCGGCAGTTTGACACCTCTGCACTGACTGAACAATTACATTGCAATGATATAAAATGACAATGCCAGAAAAATGGATAGCGAATCTGCAAATTTTCTTTAGCAAACTATTGCATTAATACTAGCAACAGTGATTGTTTCTTAAACTTTATTAATTAATGCCAGGCCCTCTACATTTTGTATTTTTTGTAATTGTGATGATAAACTCTTGATTTAATGGAGAAAATCTGCTGGTGAACAGGGATATATGCCGGGACAATAGAAGTAGCTGAGAGAAAGCAAAAAGAGAGAAGGAAGGGAAGACTGGAAAAAATGGGATTGACAGGACAAGGGGATTTGCTGTGCTGTAATATGTGCAGCAGCTATATATTGGGAGACACGAAAAGATCACTGGAGTAATTAGGCAGATCAATGGAATATGCTGTGCCAGAATTTGATACAGGAAAATGAATGCATCTAATCAAGGCTTGCCATCCTTGTTAGGTTAAGGATAAACCTAAATTCTGGATAATTTTAAATCTGCATAATTCATTTAATAATAATATCTTTTAAGGGGGCCCATGAAACCATGGATGGGAGCATCTACTAATATGACACGAAGCACTGGTCCGGGTATGATGGCAAACAAAAGAAAAGCATTTGGTACTGAAACCTATTCAACCAGGTAAATTACATTTGAACATTTTGACTTTAATTAAAATTAAGTAATTGGCAGATGAAAGAAAATGATAAAAGTGAAAATACAGAAAAAGGCATAAACGGGTCAGGGGTTTTTTTGTTTAAAATAATCAATGAAATTGAACCATTTCTCGGTGAAATGAGCATCTTGTACCGTGCAAGTAAAAAATTCTAATCTAATCCACATACATATGGAGCCAGACTTAAACTAGTCAAGTTTTTGGGAAAGTCTTTCATTTTTTTTCTCCCCATAGCTTCAGAGCCTTACTGAAATTAAAACTGTCCTTGTTCCTAATGGTCAAACTAGACACCCCACAGGAGAATTGGGATTATAGTGTAAGGATATTTCCCCAGCCAATTTTATTTTGCAAAGCAAGGAAGTAGATTTGAGGAAAGTCCTTCTCATTGGTGGCAGACTAAGCCAGATATTTTCTATTTTGTACTTCTCCATCAATGTGTATACTAACATACACATGCAACAAAATATACTCCAATGATAATCATTAACTGTTCTCTGAACATAACTTTCTTAATTTTCACAATAGCTCAGTTAGCAATATTAAAAGTGTAAGGGATCCTAATACCCCCAAATTTCCATGTTTTCTTTGATCCTTGGTTTCCATTTTATATGTGAATTTGTCAGCATTCTTAAGGACACATAAATGCTTGCAGGTAATTCAACTAAGTTAATTGATGCAATGTTTTTCACTGAAAATGTGGAACATAAAACATTTTTCAACATATTAGCAGAATTCTGAAAAAGTTTATTTTGGGGAGGTTGTTTACTTGGGTTAAAAATCCATATATTCTTTATTACTAAAAAGGAAGGAATATTTTAGAGATCACTGAAATATGTGTTTCTTTACCTAATCTTTGTTGTGTTTATTATTTTTAATTTTTAATGCTTGACATAGAGCTGGATTCGACAGTGGAGACTGTTCATCTGTCAATGGAGGAAGTTCAAAAAGCAGTGAGGGAAATTCTCTTGCACAGTTACCAAAATTCTGTTATGAATGTGGTACCAAATATCCAATTGAATCTGCAAAATACTGCTGTGAATGTGGCGTTCGAAGAATGATTTTGTGAATACACCTCTAATGTAAAATGATAGAATTCTTGCTAAGGCTGTATGAAAATCTCTGCTACACGTTCCCACCAGGACTTGCGCTAAGACACCATACTAATGTTCTGGGTAATTATTTTTTGTTGTGAAATAATATATATATAGATATATAAATATATTGTATATAAATGGTATGATACCTAAAACTGTGCCATTCAAGATAGTATACTTGAAATATTGTTGGAGAATATTTAATGGATCAAAAGTTTAACTCAAGCGCTAAGGGTTTTTGTAATAGATACATATTAATGTTCTTATTCATTTGTAGTTTTTGCTCTGAATCATTTGATCTAAAGAACATGTTCCAGTAGAAAATATATTATACATGGAAATACTGATACTTGGTTGATAACCTAAATGATAGCTTGTTGGTTGACAGTCATAAATTTTATTGTTTGAATATATTTAATGCAAATTGAAATTACTAGTTTCAAATGTATTATTATAGTTAACTAATTGGCATTTTACCCTTTTTCTTGTTCCAAAAGGCTATAACAAGTTTTTGTGCACAGATATTTTTCTATGTGAAAAACTTCTCATGTGTTTCATACAAAAAGATTGAGTTGCTAATAAATTAATTAAATTACCAAATATAATTTAATCATGTTCTTAGGATCAACTTCTTTTCCTGAAAAACAGGGCTGTGTTTAATTTTAAGACCTTGGCCAACATGATCTAAGTTAATTTCCCACTTGATTGACTAATGTATCAACAAAAAAACATTGAATATTTTATAATAATTATGACACACTAGAGTTTCAGAAAAATGATAACCCAATCATGATTTTTCTTTTTCCTATTACTTTGACCTGACCATTATAATTTCTTACAGTCTTCTCAAACACTCAACTACATTAGTATTAAGTTACTTTTTTTTAGTAAATCTCCATTTCCATAGCAATTTTTTTTACTACAAAAACATTTATTTGTGCATTTCCCAAAATTAATCCATTAATCCATCAATTTTTAATCCATGCCAATTTGCAATTTTTACCTCAGTGATGTAGGATTGTTGCTTTATTTTTAATGCTATCTTTATTCTAGTCAAAACCTGCTTGCTATGACAGATGACAATTAAAAATGCATTTGAGCAAGATTTGTCCCCATTTTTCAGTATATTGGCTAATGGCAAACTGCAATTTTTAAGTAAAAGAATTGACAGGTTAATTGGTATAGAATTGAATTTATATCTTAGAATGCTCTTTAAAAAGCATACATGTAGTATTCTAATTTTGTATTGTTACCTAATTTTATGTATATTAGTAAAAATCAATCTTTAATATCTTAATGTAGATTAGCATTTTTGTTTTTTTATTTAAAATACTGGTATGGTGGAGCTTACATTACAAAAATTCAGAATGCACTACAGTTCTTCCTTGGTCTATTGGGACTTTGTGGATTCTACTCTGCTTTGCCTATTAACTGTTAGTGTAACAATATGTGTCTTAATCACTAAAGAACCCACTTTTTTTGTATAAAGCTTTTCACATGTTCCTGCAGGTGCTTTATTACATCTTATTATTGCATCTGTTTGATATGTTTAATATAATGAATCTGGTCTTTGTAACTAGAGCAGTAGTCTAATTTCTACTAAATAGCTACGTGAGCATTATTCTGATTAGGTACATTTTGTTTTCCTAAATGTTCTTTAAGAACAAAAGCATTGTATAAATGCTTGTTCTATGTTACCTAGAATTTTGTTAATAAAACTTTTATTGTGTATATAATTGTTATATCTTAAAGACTTGTCTCTCTATTGGTAGTACAAGCTATTAGGAAATAAAGTTATTAGGTGAAATTGAAAATAAAACATAATTATAATTCTTTGTATAAAACTATAGGAATAAAGAAAAATGTCTGAGGAAACGTATGTAGAAATAACTCAGACTTTAGGGATTGTATTGGGAAATATTACCCATAGAATGAGCTGAAAGTATTAAAACAACGAGCTTTCCCAGGTATGTTTAAAGAACAGAAAAAGTGTATTGGTTGCTCAGTGAAAATACGAATGGGAAACAAAGGCGGAATCAAGTAACTCCTACATTAACTTAAGTTTTGCTGAAAAGAGGATGTGGCCAGGTGCTGGCCTAGAGTGAGTTCTAACCCTGCCTAGATATAAAACCCAGCTGGGTGTACTTGGGACAGTGACACTCTCTCAGTCCAACTCACATCACACAATTGTTGTTATGGAGAAAATAGGAGGAGGAAGCAGTATTAGGTACGTTCATCTTCTTGAGTTACTTATAAAAATAATAAAGGTAGAATATAAATAACTAATTAAATAAATAATGTGTGTCTCAATAGGCAATTATGAAGAGCAGACTGAAGGAACAGGATACTAGGTCAGGTTTGGTAGAAACATAGGAAATATCTGTTGGCCTTGAATGTGTTCACATATTGAATGCCAGATAGATTCCTTGTTAAGAGTAATAAGAAATCTGCTAACCATCTACCCAAATTTCTCATCTTTAAGAAATCTTAGAAAATGTGAAAAGAACCAGCAAACCAACACTTCTTTAATTTTTTTAATTAAATTTTGATTGTGAAAGATTGGTCATATTTGTTCATCCTTACAGAAGCATCATGGCATCCTGAGTAAAGTTAATTAAGTATGGCATGTCTGTTGAGTGGACATGGAAACCATAGTTAGAGAACATTGAAACAGTTCATCATCAGAGTGAAGTATATAGTAACAAGTAGAATACTACAGAATTGTTTTGGTCCTTGTCCTCTTCAATATTTTTGACTTGGATGAGGAAAAGAAATGGTCATCAGATGGATGAGACAATTAGTAAAAAAACGAAACAGAATTATTTGGATAGGTTAGAAAAGTGGCTGAAAATAGCAATGAAACTGAACAGAAAGATTTATTTTTACTTATGGAAAAATCACATGTACAGTATATTTGTTAAAATATTAAAAATATTGGAATTGTGAGTAATCATAAGCTAAATATTAATAAGCAGTAATATTAAATATTAATAAGCATCTCCAAGACCCATTTTTGACATTTGGAAGTACAAATGTTGCCCCTGGCTGCAATATCTCAAAGTCACCAATCTCTTTTCATCGAAAATATATAGCTGATTTAAGGTGCTATAGATCTTTATACTACTTTTATGCTCCCTCATATTTTGCAGCTTTTAAGAGAAGCAGAAATCTGAAACATTGCACAGCCCTACTAAACGGAATTCGAGAATATGATGGGGCTGCTAAAAAGTCAAAATTAAAAACTGTAATTTTAATTTTCATCAATGTAAAATAATTTCCAAACTTGAGAGTACTGGTTGGACATCTGGTAAGATAGTAATGTGTTAAGAGGCAAGCTGTTTACTGCAAGTTGAACTTTGTTGAAAATACTTGAACTGTCTGTAAGAAACAAGTGGTAAGTATTAGTACGAAATGAATTGTATCTACTTGTAGAATGGGGGAAGGGGAATTGCCTGAAGAAACTACCTTCTCCTTCCCATCATGGAACAACATGCCTCTGCCGAATAGCCTGTCCTAGTTCCACTTTGTGAAGAAACACCTGCAGAACTGGAGATTGAGGCATCAAGAGATTTTTTTTTTTTTAAACAAGAACTCAGGGCTCTGACTGATATTCCATTACATTATTTGGTGAGAGAGCTATTCTGGTTGAGATTTATCTTCCCATTTGGCAATAATGTTCCAATTTTTGAATGTTTAATTTGTCAGCATAATGGATAGAAGGAATAATGCTGAGGAACAGGAGGAACCACTGTAATCAAGATAACATATCAAAGAAATCTGAATCTGCCCCAGAACTGTAAGTTGAGAAAGCATTTCAGACATTATCCTACCCAGATCCCATTAAGATAAAGTAAGGGAGAAGGGGAGGACGTTCAGACCTGGAAGATTGTAACTATAGTCTGGTAATAAACCATAGTGTTAGCTTGCATGTCTTCAGTTTCCAAGTTTGATCTGTTGACATCAATCTTGCAAATCTCAATTATTTCCAGTGTTAAGGAAATTTATTAGAGCTTTATTAGGTAAGAAATTCTCATAAGTAATTAATGCTTTGGAATAACCTTTTATTATTTCCAAGCAGGACACTTATTCTTTATCTGAATTAAATTCTCACTTCTTTCTCTTCAACTGGCAGGAAATTTTTATCGTATCTGTTATAGCCTAACTTTAACTCACCTTCCTAACCTAACCAACCATTAATTATATTCTTTATCTATGCATTTTTAATATTAAAATATTATCCATTTTTTGTTCTCTATTCATAATATAGGTAGAGGTTCCAGCCCCTTTTTTATTGGGCTGTCCTAAGTGGCTGCCATCTCATTTCCCCTTTATCCCCCAAGACTGCTGACAGCTGAAGTCTTGGTGGCCATAAATATAGTTGCTCTGGATACAACTCTATTGCTTTTCTTCCAGAACTGGAGCTGTTTTTCCAGCCATTGGCTGAAAATATAACTGAGAAGCTGCTGGTTGCCTGACACTTCAGGTGGTGGGATATGGTGAGAAGAAAGGAGAGATTATCTTTTTTACGTCCATCATCCTTCTCCCATCCTAGTCTCTGGGACTGCTTTCATTCAGTCTGTCATGAATGGTTTTTTTACATTTTACTCTTCCTTTTCCTCTTGCTTTCTTATAGCTTCTTCCTTTATTACCTGCATTACTTTCATTGAACAACCACTGCCATCTTGCCATACTTTGAATCTGTGGTAGAAGCACTGGTTGAAGAGGAAGGGGCTCCTCTATGAAGAACAGAGACATTTTAGAGTGTGTTCAAAGGACGAAATGTCTGAGGTCAAATCCTTAGGCCTATATCTGCCATTTCCCAAGGGGAGGCAGATACTCTGGTGTGATTCTTCTAATATAGGTGATCAACAATAATATTTACTTGGGTCTATACAGAAGTAGGAAATATAAAGCAGCAGACTGAGGATAAATCATCCTGAAGATCTGACAGGGTCATCAAGATTTGACATCTAATTAATACTACATAATATAATAAACTGAAACTGCTAGCAATAAGCTTGTGCATTCTTTTCCAAATGCATCACATTGAATACAACACAAATAGTATATATCCATAGTCCAATGTAGCACTGGATCAGGATATATGTGCTAGTTTAAAGAATAACATTAAAAGACAACAGAGTCACTTACTGTTTTCTTGCACACAAATGCAAAGCCCTCAGGGAAAAATGTCATCCTGGTCTTCAAAATGAAAGACAGTTCTTTTGTCATCAAATCAAAGATTTATACCCATAATGCATAAGACCAGAAGGGAAATGTACAAAGTTGAAATGAATGGAGATATGATTCTATTCAACTGGAACCAGATGTGTTTACATGTAAAAATGAGTTTCAGAATATACTGATTTACCAGATAACCCTCATTCAACAATCATTTGAAACAATTCTAGAAAACATTACAATAAACGTCTCATCAATTTTCAATATGTATAATAATGTTCCAGTTTTAATATTTGCTGGGTTTTATTTATATCTTAATTTAAGTTATATCTTAATTTTATCTACAGAGTAGCAATCTAAGACCAAAGAACAAGCTGATCTTTCCATGAAATGTAGCTTGCTGATGTATGAAATTGCCTAATAGTTTTTTTTCCTGGACTAATTGGTTCTAATTGATTTAATTTCAGAAAACATGAGTCTTTGGACTTACTAATATTAGATATTAATTAATTAAATGTATATGCTGCCCAACTGCTGGTAACTCTGGACAGCTGAATAGCTTTATTACCCATTGACTTAAAACGCTATCTGACAGGTAGTGGAAGAAAATAAAAATATACTAGCTAGAGATAAATTCTTGGAGTATAACTCTAGCCATAGCCATGGCTCTTTTGGGAGGGGAAATATTTAACAGTAAATATTTACTTTTCTCTGATATGTCAAGGAGAGTTGGCAAAAATGGAAAACTCTGTAAGTACTTTTCTTTGGAACTGAACATACTTTGGCAGGCTATCTGAATATGAGAATTGATACAAATTACCTCTTTTTTTCATTAAATGTTTGAGTTGAAACCAGCACTGTTTCCAAGGATAATGGTGTCTACAGGCTGAGGCTTCAGTCAAATTAGTTATGTCATTGGTGAATGAGTATACTAAATGAGTGAAGGAGGATAAACGAGGAATGTGTACACTTTAGAATAGAAACAGGGTAGCTTGCTATGTTTGAGAACATAATTCTTTGCAGGTTGTACAGAGGTTCCCCCCCCCCCAAAAAAAGATCCAACAGCCAAATGTTAGGTTCCAGACATACCCAAATATAGAATGTGGAGGTAAGAAAAAAAAAGCATAATTTTTTCTGCATATAAACTTTGTGGAAATAAAGTATGTAGGAAGTAAGAAACTTGAGAAAAATGGACTTCTTTTGGATTCTGCAGGGATGTTGCCAGCCTGAGGGAATTGTTTCAAATTCCCCTGCTTCCTCTCAAATATTATGATTGGTTTAATTAAGACTGTCCATTCATTGCAATTAGAAACTAGAACTGTGAGTTATAACTTCACTTATCCTAATCCTTCTGTTCAAGAGTTGGCTTTCTATAGAGCTATGCATCTTCTTTTGAATCTTGGCAGGTGAGAAAAGCTAAGCAGGGCCAACAAGTTAATACTATTAAGCAAGACCACCAGGGACTCATAAAGTTGACTAGGAAGTCAAAACAACATCCTAGAAGTCCCAAAACAAACCTTTTTTCTTTGAAAATTACAAGAACATGTCCA